AAAGAAATTACAGGAATGGAAAAAAGGGCAATCAATTCACTGAGGTACCTCCTTGCTTAACCAGTCTGGACATGGGCCTAAGAGTCTGTTCTAGAAAAGCAATGATTCTCAAACTCAAGAGTGCAGTTAGAATCACCTGAGGGGCCAGTAAGACCTGCAAAAACTCGGCAGGTGCACTCCATTCAAACCCCTGCACTAAGAGACTTCACCAAACATTAGCATGGTTTCTGGCAGTCTAAGGTTGAATCCCTGAGAAGACCCAACTCACTTTTCGTTTTGTTTTGTTTTGAGACAGAGTTTCGCTCTTGTTACCCAGGCTGGAGTGCAATGGCGCCAGCTCGGGTAACATCCACCTCCCAGGTTCGTGAGATTCTTGTGCCTCAGGCTCCCGAGTAGCTGAAATTACAGGTGTGCACTACCACACCCGAGTAATTTTTGTATTTTTAGTTGAGATGGGGTTTCCCCATGTTGGCCAGGCTGGTCTCGAACTCTGACCTCAAGTGATACACCCGCCTCTGCCTTCCAAAGTGCTGGGATTAACAGGCACGAGCCACTGCGCGCAGCCCAAGCTCACTTTTGAATTCCCTGTCAGGAAAAGCTTTCAATTTGTTCCAGTCCACGCCTGAGGATAGGCCTCAGCTTCCTTTTTTTTTTTTTTTTTTTTTATTTTGAGACAGAGTCTCGGCTGAGCGCGGTCACTCACGCCTGTAATCCCAACACTTTGTGAGGCCGAGGTGGGTGCATCACCTGAGGTCGGGAGTTTAAGACCAGCCTGAGCAACATGGAGCAACCCCGTCTTTACTAAGAATACAAAATTGGCCGGATGTGATAGCACATGCCTGTAATCCCAGCTACTCGGGAGGCTGAGACAGGAGAATCGCTTGAACTCGGGAGGCAGAGGTTGCCATGAGCCGAGATCTGGCCCTTGCACTGCAAACTGGGCAACAAGAGTGAAACTCCATCTCAAAAATTAAAGAAAAGACAGAGTTGCCCAAGCTGGAGTGCAACGGCGCGATCTCGGCTCACCGCAACCTCCGCCCCCGGGGTTCAAGCGATTCTCCCGCCTCAGCCTCCGGAGTAGCTGGGACTACAGGCATGCACCACCAGGCCCGGCTAATTTTTTTGTATTTTTAGTAGAGACGGGGTTTAACCCTGTTGACCAGGCTGGTCTTTAATTCCTGACTTCAGGTAATCCACCCGCATGCTTTCCTTTCTTAGGGCATTTACTTAAAAAAGGGCTTAGAATTGTAAATCCTTCCTCTCTTCCTTTGAGATGTTTATGTGTTTCCTACAACTACAGAGTGTTTCTCAAGGGCCTGGAAGCCAGTCCTTTGAAATGAAATCATCAGAAAGGACAGGCCTCTATCTCCCAGTCTCTGGGAGGATAAAAATCTAACTTTAGTAATTGCCAGGTAGCAGACACATCTGGCCTAATCACATTTATACTGGCAAACCCTCTGTCATTTTTCACTGCCATGACTTTGCTGAGTCCCTGCTTGCGTTCCTTCCTTACTCCCTCATTTTCCCTCTAAAATGCCCAGTCACCTCTGCAAATCAGAATGAAGCGCTCAGCTCTTTCCTCTTCTGTCAGTAGTTACTGAATAAAATCTGTCTTCACTGCTTTAACTAATGTTACTTAAACCACAGATTTCTGGCTTCACACCCAGTTTCTGATCCTGGGGGTCTGAGGTGAAGCCTGAAAATGTCCATTTCTAATAGTTTGCAGGTAATGCTGATGTGCTTGCTCCAGAGACTTACTTTTGAGAATCACTGCTTGGCCGGGCACGGTGGCTCATGCCTGTAATCCCAGCACTTTGGAAGGCCAAGGCGGGTGGATCACCTGAAGTCAGGGGTTTGAAACCAGCCAGGCCGACATGGTGAAATCCTGTCTCTACTAAAAATACAAAAAAATTAGCTGGGCACGGTGGGGTGTGCCTGTAATCCCAGCTACTCAGGAGGCTGAGGCAGGAGAATTGCTTGAACCTGGGAGGCAGAGGTTGCAGTGAGCTGAGATCACGCCATTGCACTCTAGACTGGGCAACAAGAGTGAAACTCCATCTCAAAAGAAAAAACACAAAAATTAGCCGGGCGTGGTAGCGCATGCCTGTAGTCCCAGCTACTTGGGAGGCTGAGGCAGAAGAATCTATTGATCGCTTGAACCCGGAAGGTGAAGGTTGTATTGAGCCAAGATTGCGCCATTGCACTCCAGCCCGAGCAACAGAGTCAGACTCCATCTCCAAAAAAAAAATAAAATAAAATAAAGAAAGAAAGAAAGAAAAAAGAGAATCACTGCTCTGGCTGATCAGTTATGGCCCCTATTCAAAGATTTGATATTCTAGTGATACAGCTTCCTTAAAACCTTATTTGACTGCCTGTTGGTTTGAGGGGACTCAGAATGCTAAAAACAAGTGCCAAGAATCTTGTCAAGCTAGGCTCTTTGAAGCTTCAGATCTGCTAAAGGGAATTAGACTGGATCATCCTGTTGTGGCTTCTATTCATCATATTTAGGAGAGTTGGAGAATAAGGAGTACTACTTAGGAGGCAGATATAGATAACTTCATTCCAGTTGCCTTGATGCCAGTTTCCTAATCAGAGAAATCTTTGATGCGAGATTGAGATTCTGCTGTAATTCAGCAAGGCCAATGAATATCTGACCCTCAGCCAATGTAGATCTCTTGATATAAGCAAAGGGGCTGCTGTTTTGAGTTACCAGAGCAATAAGCAACTACTTCACTGTCAAATAACACACAATGCCAACTTCCTTCCCATCAACTGATGTGGAGATCTCTGATCTCTATCTGCTCCACATTTTAGGGTCTCCACAAAAAATAAAATTAGTCAGGGGTGGTGGCATGTGCCTGTAGTCCCAAGCTACTCAGGAGACTGAGACTGAAGTCAAGGCTGCAGTGAGCTGTGATGACACCACTGCATTATCCGGAATCTGAGACTTGAAAGTAATGAAGACTATTTCTCATCTCTGCACTTCTCTGAAAGTCTGCATTTTTTTCTCTTTCTGCAGACCAGCATCTTTCACTTCTGTCTCTCTGGTGGGAAAATGGTTTGACAGCTTCCAAGCTTTAAACTTAGAGAAAAGCTGATCTCTCTGGTCCCATTCCAAATTTCTAGAAAATGAAATTTTAGTTGCCCCAGGTTGGATTAGGTCCCCACCTCTGACCCAATAAGCTATGGGACAGTTTTTGCTGTAACCCTATAAATGGGGGAAGGGGAGGGTCAATTCCCAGAAAAAAGGGACTGGGCAGACAGTCCCGTAAGTGTCCATTATACTAAAAAACGTCTATTCCTTCCATCTTTCATCCCTTCAAGCCACTGCCCTCTCCTTTCACTGCTTGCTTTCGAGTTACCTATGTACACTGCCTTGCCATCTACTTATTCTTTGCCAATCTGGCTTGTTCCGTCTCCACTATTCTATAATTTTTTTTTTAATGGAACTCGAAGCTTTTTTGCTTTTGCATCCTAATAGAGTGTTCTCCTATCTCATTCATCTTGATCACTCTTCGGTTCTGCACGTCTGCATTCTAACTCCGCCTGCCATTATTTTCCACCTTCCAGTAAGTTCGAAGCCAGATCTGGCTACGACTCATTTCAGATATTGTTTTCTGCTCTATTCCTGCTGAAAGAGTAGGCCGGCCCTAAAATCCAGAAAGAAGACAGGAACTGCATTGGTTTCATCTCAGTATGTTGAAAATACATTTTTCAAAAGATTATGACTCTGTACATCTGAAATTAGAGTCCTTGCAGCTATTTAGAAAAGCTCCTGGCAGACTAAAACACAATGAAGTTTGGAAACCAAAGGTCCTAACCATAGGACACAGTGGATGTGGGAGTACCAAAAAGATACAACTTGTAATTTGTGTTGGTAATTATCTCCTAGCCCAAAGCGATCCTAAAGGCAAGGATATTCGATTTCCCTTTGTCTCTGCATTGCCTTAGGCAAGTAAGATCCTAAAGGCAAGGATATTCGATTTCCCTTTGTCTCTGCATTGCCTTAGGCAAGTGAATAATGTCAGTTTCATCTTTTGTGTTTTTTTGAGACCCCAGGCTGGAGTACAGCAGTGATGCAATTTCCACTCACTGCAACCTCCGACTCTGGTTCAAGCAATCCTCGGGCCTCCGCCTCCGCACTCACCACCACGCCCAGCTAATTTTTGTATTTTTAGTAGAGACAGGGTTTCGCCATGTTGACCAGGATGGTCTCGATCTTTTGACCTCGTGATTCGCTTGCCTCGGCCTCCCAAAGTGCTGGATTCCAGGCGTGAGCCACCAAGCCCGGCCAGTTTCATATATATATATATATATATTTTTTTTTTTTTTTGAGATGGAGTCTTGTTCTGTTGCCAGGCTGGAGTGCAGTGGCCCGATCTTGGCTCACTAGTCTCCGATTGCAAGCGATTCTCCTGCCTCAGCCTCCCGAGTAGCTGGAACTACAGGCATGTGCCACTACGCCCAGCTAATTTTTGTATTTTTAGTAGAGACAGGGTTTCACCGTATTGGCTAGGCTGGTCTCGAACTCCTGACCTCGTAATCCACCCACCTCGGCCTCCCAAAGTGCTGGGATTACAAGCGTGAGCCACCACGCCCAGCCCAGTTCTATCATTCTTAATTGGGAGCAACAGCTTTTTAAATAGTATCTTTTCCAATAAGGAGAAAACCCTCCCTCCTAGGGAGATTTAGCTCACTTTAGCTTAATTCAGTCAATCCACTCTAACTTCCATTCCCATGATGCATCAATCCTTCCCCAAAACTCTTCTTCCTGGAAAAAGCAGTAAATAACCTAAGCAACTTAGTAGGATGCAACGAGTTGGAGTGCAAATCCTAAACACTGATCGATCACGCCTCGCCTCCTGTGACCCTGTGAGCTGAAGGGCTGAGACGGGTGGTAGTCTGGTTCCTCGACTACATACCAAAGCCATAGAGAAGACTACAACTACCAGGATGCCCCTCTCCCCGCCCCGCCCCGCCCCTCCTCGCTCCCCTTCCTCCAGCTAGAAAGCGTGTACCACCGAGAAGACGACGCAACATGGCTCCCGGAGGTGGAAGAAAGAGGCTTCACCCCTTTTGAAGCTGGAGGAAGAGCGGCCGGAGAGGAGAAAAGAGAAGTGACGAGCCCAGCCTCGCTTTTATCCTCCCAGCCTCTCCTGAGTCCAGTCTGTCTCTCCCCTTCTCTGCACCCAAATCCAATTTGTGGTTTCCTCCCCTCCCCGCCCTCATTCCCTCGCTTCCTCACCCCTCCCCTCGGGAATCCTTTTCCCGTCCCCCCCGTCGCCCCCCGCGGAGTGCGCACGCGCCCGCCCCCAGCTTCGCGCCCAGATCTTCGCCTAGCCTGCTCGCGCAGCTGCTATCTCATCTGCCCACCGACGAAGCATGGGTGTCCAGGGCTTTCAAGAGTTCCTGGAGAAGCGCTGTCCCGGGGCCGTGGTGCCCGTGGACCTCCTCAAACTCGCGCGCACGGTTTCGCGCCAGCAGCAGCAGCAGCAGCACCTGCACCGCCAGCTGCCACCGACGGCAGCCCTGGCGCCCGGGGCTCCACGCGCCGCCAGGGGCTCCGCGCCTCTGCAACCGCCGCTCCCGCCTGCCTTGGGTGCCTACTCCGGGGGCGCGGGGCCGACTCGGCACCAGCACCCCGCTCACCACTTCCACCATCACGGCCAGGCGCAGCCAGGGCTGCACCCTCCGCTGCCGCCGCCGCCCCCTCCGCTGCCCGGAGCCCGGGTACTGGTGGACGCCGGCTCGGCGCTGCCGCGGCTTTATGGCGGCTACCAGACGGATTGGGTGTGTGGCGGCCAATGGAACGCCATGCTGGGCTACTTGTCAGCGCTGTGCCAGGCTTGTGCCTATCCTGGCGGCGACGGCCTGGAGCTCGTGGTCATGTTCCCCGGGGGCCTGGGCAAGGACCGGCTGGCTGAGTGGGGCCGTCGGTGCCAGGCCGAGCGGCAGACAGCGCAACTGATCGTGGGACACGTGGGCAACAAGGGCACCCCTCCACCGCGGGCCTGGTTCCTGCCACCGGCCTGCCTGAGCCACTGCGTGAGGCTAGCACTCATCCGCTTCCGGGTCAAGGTGAGGGAGGGGCCGGATCTTAAATAACACGCCCCACACCTATTCCCTCCCAACTAAACACCTAACTACCTACCCACTTACCCGCTACCCTGCCTCCCATCTACCCGTACCCACCCGCCCAGCAGCTAACCTACCTGCCTAACTATCCTCTCCCATTTTATCCATTTACCTCCCCCTTCATGCCACCCCCTACGGATTCAGTCACCTACATGGCCATATCTCTACTCATATCATCCCAGTAGCTCGCTTTAGCTTCCCTTATCCAATTGGCCTATCTCTAGGTTTCAGCATAATCGAGGCACAATTTCTTTTGTAGCCTCACCTTTCTCCTGCTGTTTTCTGCCTCAAGCTGAAATGCCTTTACCTTGCTTTTCCTGTTGACATCTCTCCCCTGTATCTCTTTCCAGCCTCGCAGCAAACCACTTAAGCAGGTGTACACTGAACATTTTCTTCTACATTGTTTCCATCTTCACCCACTGCTGTTTTTTAACCCACCTGTCCATTCAGCCTTGTTCATTTCAACATGCGTCTTCTTCCTCCTGCCTTAGCCTAAACACATAAGCAAAAAACCCCTGATTCAGTCACTGTTCAACAAGTATTAACGCACTGAGTGTAAGGGTTTTAAAGTTATGTGAGACACTGGTCATACCCTTGGAAAGTCAGATGTATACACATGAAACATTTAATTCTATCAATGTGTATGTGATTATGCCTTATGGTCCAGACAGTAAGTACAGTTCCTGTTTTCTGTATGTGGGGGTGGTGGGATATCTTTGGACTAAAGTGGTCAGGGGAGGCTTCCCTGAAGAAGTCGGACCTCACCTGTGTCTTCAAAGATGGATTGGATTTGAATGAGTCACAAGCTTGGGAGGAGGTTGCTTTAAGTGGGAGGAAGAAAATGAGCAGAAGCAAAGAGGAATATCAAGTATGCAAAGCCCCATAGGCAGTTAAGTCCAATCTGCATGTAGTTGGGTCACTGCATATGGGGCCTGGGGAACAGCTTGGCAGCATCCCCAGTTCTTGGCACCACTGCTGTTGCTCTGTTGCTTTCCCATACTCTTAGGTTTCAAGTTCCTACGTGTAGAGAATAGCAAGGCTTGAGAAGTAAAGGAGGTGAGCAGGAAGAAGAAAAAGAAAAGTAGTACAGGGTTGGGTAGAATGAAACCGCAAACCTATTTCCCCAACCAAGGTTCTTGGGGCTTGTCCTTACAGTTAGACAGAACAGGGGATTGTGGGAATCAGTAAAGAAGTGGTGTCGCCTGGAGTGATGGAAGAAATTTTAGCTCAGAGACTAACAGACCTAGAGAAGCTTGCAGTGGTTATAGAGCTTGTGGCTGGAGTCCAGTTATGCTAGATTCCTTTTCAGCATCAAATCTGCCTAGAGTGGCTAGATTATAGTTGTTTTGATTTAAACAAATCCAGTTGTGAGCTATCTCGAACATACAAGGTAAAAAAGAAAGAAAGAAAGAAAGAAAAATAGACCCTTTTGCTTGCTCTTCTGACTGAACAGTTTAAGGTAGATTCTTTGTTCATGACTCTTTCCACTGTTTTCACTGCTGCCACCCAGGCTTTTAAGGTCTTTTTACCTCATTGTTGTTATTAACCTGGTTGCTGGCAATAGTGACCACACTGATGGAGCATTTACCACACTGATGGAGTATTTACTATGCGTCAGGTACTATGTGCTTCTTTAAAAACATTAACTCATTGGATCCTCACAATACCTATGAAGCAGTATTATCCGTTTTCCAAATGAGGAAACTGAGGCGTGGGCTTAGGAGCTTGCCCAAAGTCACGCAGAGATAAGTGGCAGGACTGAGATTTGTGCCTATGTGGTTTTCCTCCAGAGCTCATACTCTAAACAGTGCTGCTCTAAAATGAATCATTCTAAAGTGCCACTCTGATTAGATCATTTCCACACTCAGCCAAACTCTTCCTTGGCTCCTGGGTAAAGACGGTTCAGGTCATTCACTTACTCTTTTATGGAGTGCTTGCTGTAGGCTAAGTACTAGTTGTTTGCTGAAGACAGAGGTAAATAAGGGTATCCTGTCCTCAAGGAGGACAAGGTTTAGTGAAAGAGATAATAAAATTGCAGATATGGTGGGCTAATTGCAAATGTTGAAATATGTGGCTTCTTGGGGGCATGGTTAATTCTGAGCAAGGGAGTGAAAGTTGGGGAAGGCTTCACGGATTGAATCCACAAAGAGGGCTGAAGATAGTTCAGATAGTGGACAAGGGTGTGGATACCCAAATAGCCAGTTGTGAGCTCCGAATAGATTTTGATTGAAGGTTGGCAGGAGGGTTGAACACTGAGTATGGGTTTGTGGTTTCCAGCGTTTTTTGTTTATATACCCCATCAGGCAGAATCTTTTGAGAAGCAGCCCTTAGTATATTTTTGTCATACTTCGCCACACAATCTCATTTAAAAAATCCTAGCAGTTGATAAAAAAGATGGATTGAATAGATGGATATGTGATAAATACGGTATAGTAAAAATGGTAGAATCTCAGTCATGGGTATTCGGATGTTCACTGTAAAATTATTTCAATTTGCCATATGTTTGAAGTTTTTCATAATAAAATGTTGGGGGAAAATTCCCAGCAGTCCTCTTCAGTCCTTAGAACCACTCTTGAGGAATATATAAATCTTACTCCCTGTGCGAGGAATATATAAATCTTACTCCCTGTGCTAGATTATAAACGAACTCTGATCTTTTCATATTTTCCATAATGTCCTCAGTACTTTGAGTGCAGGGTGCATTGTTTTTTTCCATAATGAATAGGTCAGTGATCCTAAGAGAATGGATTGTAGGAATGACTTTTTAAAAGAGGATAGTGTGGCTCTTGATATAATGGATTTAAGACCAGCTCCAAAACTGCATATCTAAAGTGTCTATTGATGTTATCAATGAGTAAAGTTCTCTCCTGGTTCTGGTCAGTGAGTTTTTTGTTGTTATTAGAATGAAGAACTCCCTGGATTATATCACAGACTGGAAAGGTATTGATTAATAACAGATCGTGGTTTCCCTTTTCAGAGGAGTGTTCTACTGTGTTGAAGGTGGGAATTTTTCACTTGAATGATCTGCATGCCTACTATTTTTTTTTGACTGAATGTCAGTGCCTCGGAACAAAACCCACTACTGTATCTCTCCCCTCTTTGGTTTCTGTTCTTCAGGCTAGACCACAAGATGGGCCTTTATTCCCAGTCTCATTTTCATTTGTGATACAGAAAGTAGAGGTAGAAGGATGAAATAATAGATAAGTTGCTGGGTTGTCTGTTTAGCTTTAGACAACTTTGGACTTACCATGAAGAGATCCAGTGTATATTGTTGGAATGAATTTTATCATTTGGCTGGTTTCATTATGTGCTCTTCAAACCTTTGTAAATGATAATTGGTAGAAGGAAAATTAAGTAAACCCACAAATTGCTTCCTGATTGCTTCCTAAGGGTCTCAGAAACAGAGCAACCTAAAGCAGTTTTAGATTGTGATTCAAGAGATGATTTAGGGTAATTAAGGGAATGAATGCTTTGTTTTAATGGTTACTGTGTAATTAGGAAAAAACGATCATCACATCAAACCCTCCATTTCACAGCTGTACCTTTTTAGAATGGGTATGATTACATAAAATGAGTTGATTTAAAGAAAGATACTAAGTTGTGGTACTTGGATATGGCAGAAATCATGTTGGTGGCATATGAATAACTAGACTTTGAGAACAGATAACCATTTTGTGCTTTGGCTCTCTAGAATACCATAAAGCAGTGGCTACTATGCTTCCTGATTGTTTAGTTACCCTTAGTCATAGACATTCTGAAGTCAATGACTTTTCCAGGTGCTCTAATGGTTGGAAAATAATCAAAATAGTAATTACTTCTTAGGCAACAAGTTATATATTAAATACTTTAATATCTCCTTGGCTGGGCGCGGTGGCTCATGCCTGTAATCCCAGCACTTTGGGAGGCCGAGGTGGGTGGATCACAAGGTCCAGAGATCAAGACCATTTTGGTCAACATGGGGAAACCCCGTCTCTACTAAAAAAATTAAAAAATGAGCTGGGCATGGTGGCGCGTGCCTGTAATCCCAGCTACTCAGGAGGCTGAGGCAGGAGAATTGCCTGAACCCAGGAGACGGAGGTTGCGGTGAGCCGAGATCGCGCCATTGCACTCCAGCCTGGGTAACAAGAGCAAAAACTCGGTCTCAAAAAAAAAAAAAAAAAAGAAAAATCTCCTTGATTTCCTGGGATACAGAGTTGCAAGAAAAAAAAAATCTCCTTTAGGCTGGGTGTGGTGGCTCATCTTGTAATCCCAGCACTTGGTGGGAGGCTAAGGCGGGTGGATCACGAGGTCAGGAGTTCAAGACCAGCCTGACCAACGTCGGGGTCCCCCGTCGCTACTAAAAATACAAAAATTAGCTGGGTGTGTTGGCATGCGACTGTAATCCCAGCTACTCAGGAGGCTAAGGCAGGAGAATCCCTTGAACCTGGGAGGTGGAGGTTGCAGTGAGCTGAGATGGCTCCACTGTGCTCCAGCTGCACGACAGGACAGAGGGAGACTCCATCTGGGGGAAAAAAAAAAAGTCTCGTTTAATCCTCAAGAGTTGGTAAGGTACATGGTAATCTCCCCATTTTACAGTTGAGTAACTGAGATACCAAGAGGTAAGATAATTTTTCTTTGTTGTAAGTACTAGTGAGTGGTGGATAAACATTCTTGTTCTAGGTTTATATTGCTCAAAGCTTCCACAATCCCACCATCCTGTTTCATTTGTTTTGTGTATTTCTGGGTAAGATTGTACATTCTTATCGGCTAGATAATATGCATAGGTAACATATATAACATTGAAGAAAAACAATCATAAGTAGATTTAAGCACTTAGTTGGTGCCGGCATTGCTAAATGTACAATAACTGCCAATACAAGGCAAATGTGTAAGCTAAGTGCCAAGTGAGTCATACTGTGTTGTTACAGGAATTCAAAAGTAGCAAACCCTGTCCTTTCTACAGT